TCCCAAAAATGATGCAAGCACTTTGTAGAGGTGACGATCTTCCAGCAGTCATTAGGTTTTGTTCCTGTAGCTATAAAATATACTAGAAGTATCATTGAAACGAAGAAATAAGATAGTTTAATAGTAGAAACTCTAGTAATTTGGTGAGAAGAAAGCTGGTGATTTAAGTGACACAAATGGCTTCACACATTGATAAAACTTGTCTTTTAGCAAACTGCTACTGTTTGGACGATTATACACAATTAACAAAGAACACCGATAACTGCGCCAAATATGCCGAATGTTACCGCGTCAACTCATTTTCGTTACCTCAAAACATGGCACAAACGACATGTGGAGAAGTTGGCGGAACACTTCCAAATATAGTCGGTTCCGAGAAGGAAGAATTTATAAACGGTGAATTGTCATTCCAGTAATTGTAACCTCTTTTCAAGTTAAGGAACTATATGGCGTCTAAATAATGAAATCTGATTGCAAGCAATAATTTTTGTTTACAGAATTGCATAAAACTGCTGGATTTTTCCCATTTTGGATAGACGGAACATGTACGTCTGCAGATACCTGCAGATATTCAGATAACTCATTGGTAATATAAAACCTCAATTTTTTGAAAATTTTTTATTTAAAGCTATTGCATTGAATTATACATAATAACGAAAACTTATAGGTTAAATATAAAAACTGGTGCACAGCAAAAAAACAACCAAATTTCGGCAATGGAAATTGTGTGTATGAGGATCAATGCGTCGGTTTCAATGTAGGATGGTTTACCGGCAGTTGTGACGACTTTATGACAGATCGCTTCTTTACTTGTCAGGTTCCTGCATGTAAGTCAAATAAAAAACAGTTGGTTTATTTAAGTGATTACTAAGTAAAGACATTTCTTTTTTTCAAATTAAAATTTGTTTGTCTTCTGGCAAACAACTTTTTACTAAAATAACGTAAAAATAAAAGACAAGATTGTCTGAATAATGCATATTTATTGTATTACAATGCTTTTTTTGACTTTCACTTTAAAGCAAGTTGAACAATAAAGCTTAAAAGGTTATTTTCAGGTTCTGTTAACCACTACTGTGATTATAACACTATGGGAAAAAAGATCAACAAAAAACCAAAGTTGCATCTTAAGCGTCATTAATTTAGGCAGCTTTTTAAACGTCTGTGTGCCACAACTTTTTTTTTTTTGTTGAAAACAGCTTGGCTTAACTAACAAACAGAGAACAATAAATAATATTAAAGTTGTTGCTTT